CCCCCCCCCTTCTTTTTTTAGTGGGGATGCTCCTTTCTGTTAGTGGGGAGTGTCACCCGCTGAGAATAGGGACCAGCAACAAAAACATAGTAATGCTATTTATAGTATATACTCACTTTTCCCCACGTTATGGCCCGGGCAATCCTGACAGCATTTTGATTTCTTCCCCCGGAGGGATTCCTGTCAGCTATGCCCACCTGAACAATCAATCAAACCCCCTTTTCAAGAAACATCCCTAAAAACGCTTCGTTTTCCATGTCTGCCTGTGCCAAGTTGCAGCGCGCTAGCCGCTGCTGTTTCATGCATGTGCAGGCCTGCCTGTGCCAAGTTGCAGCGCGCTAGCCGCTGCTGTTTCTTTTTTTTTTTTTTTTTTTTTTTTTTTTGCTGCTGTTTCATGGATGTACAGGCCTGCCGGTGGCAAGTTGAACCACGATGAAAAATTGCCAGAGGGGCACAGAAGTAGGCCTCACGCACTGATGATCTGATCCCCAGAGTCCTCCCAAGAAATGCCCGACCTGTCAAGAATGGTTTCCCACCGCACATCACAGTACATGTATCTCAAAATGAAGACCCAGATCGGCCGCTGACGTTCTTCAGAAAAATACTAGAAAGATCAGAAACTGTATCTCAAAATGAAGACCCAGATCGACCGCTGACGCTCTTCAGAAAAATACTGGAAAGATCAGAAACACGTTTACTGGATTGGAAAAATCATTAGGCAGCCAAAGCTCTCTCTCTCTCTCTCTCTCTCTCTCTCACACACACACACACACACACACACACACACACACACACACACACACACACACACACACCACGTGCAGATGGGCTGTGTGGTTCTACTCGTTATAAACCATCACTTCTCCGGCAATTATTTTAACGAATAAACACTTCTTTTCTGGCCTGGCCCACCAAATCAAAACAATGTGGGCCTACCTGTAGCAGCAGGATGACAGAGTTATGTTCTTGTGCTACCACCATTTAATTTGCCAGCAGAAGAATTTTTGTTTCATTTTTTTAATATTTCCCTCTCAAGGATCAGCACCCAATCTATCACTCTTTTTTTTTTTCTGAGTTTTTCGTCAAATATTCCGAGCACAAAAACTCGTCCGCGTAGGCACACTCTCTTCGTGCAACCTGCAGCTCATCACGACAGATTAAACGACCTGCGGCCCTGGCCCTCAAACGCTTAACACAGTTTTCTAACAGAAACCAGTCGCCTAAATTGCCATGATGCACATTAAACAGTCCACCAAACCACCCCTCCATATCCAAACCCCACCCCAAAAATGCACACCCTTCACCCTTCACACTGCCACTTTGGTCCCATGGAGGACTGGTAGACCCAACGACCCAAAAGAAAAAAAAAGGCCTTGGATCTATACACGTAACCCCTACAGGCTGCAAACTGGCCCGTGTATCTTTCCACATTCTTTTTTTTTTTTTTTTAATCTTTCCACATTCTAGCTAAAGGCACCGCGCATTTTACGCATTAGATTATATATATATATATATATATATATATATATATATATATATATATATATATATATATATATATATATCGTCAAAT